CTGCTTTTGAAGAAATATCGTAGTATCACGCTACAGCGCACATTCTATCAGTTGCAGTTCTGATGCCTCTGTCTCAATATACTGTACAACGCGACATACATTCACATTAGAGCTTGACCGATATGGGTTTTTTGGGGGCCGATACCGATATTGGGGAGTAAAAAAGGCCGATATCGATATAATGGCCGATATTCTTTGTGTATATTATAGTACAGTACCCATTCGTGTGTCCAAACTTTTGACTGGTACTATATATAGAATACAGTATATACATAAACAGAATATATATACATAAACACATTTTTTGCAATGATCACTCAAATGTGGTGATCAAACATTTATAATGATGTGACAAAGATATGTAATGGAGGCAGAGCATTTAACAATTTAACAAACTTTATTATCCAAAATGAGTCTGACATCAGTGCACTGAACAGTAAAGTTGAAGTTTAACTTCTGAACATTCATTCACGGATTTGCGCTACTGTCTTCACACACAGACGAAACTTACTAGAGAAGTGTGAAGTGTGACATAATATACCTCTGTAAATAAATACAATTTAAATTCACATCTCGTGCACTTTAATGCCCTTTGAATATAATGTGTATGTTCCCTTGGAACTGGAATCATGGCGGAATATCATGTGAAGTCCACTTCGCAGGGCACTTACTGTCGAATAATACACCTCTTGAATGCTGCTGCCTGAACAAGAGACCTCCTTACTGAAGTAAAAGTGTTGGCTGGTGTCACTATCTCGCGAACGAGGCTGTGGATCTCCACCAAATTCGGGGGATCTCTTCAGCTCGAGGAGCCCGCAATGCAAACCTGCAAGATCGAGCGGTCTTTGCAATGTGGTCTTTGAAGGTCAGCTGGTCATCAAAGGTTACACCAAGATTTCTGACCGAAGTTGATGGGGTAATTGTAGAAGAACCTAGCTGGATGGAGAAATCATACTGTAGAGTTGGAGTGGCAGGGAAGACAAGAAGCTCAGTCTTTGCCAGGTTATATCAAGATATATCTGCGACGGACTCATATCGGCTGATAAAATCGGCAAAACGATATATCGGTCAGGCTCTAATTCACATCAAATGTTACTCAGCGGTAGAGTTACACTCACGGGACACTGCACTTCGTATATTAAAAGTATATTATTTGCATGTGCTTTAAAGCCTTGCCAGTTAAACATTTCATTAGCGTGCTGTTCTGACTTGCTTTTTCTGAGCGCATACACCTGAGGCGCGCACACTAAAAAGCCTGTCAAACAGCGCCTGATTACTGGACTAAGGTATCTTTTATGTCTGATTGCGCTAATACTGTCAAAAACACACAAGGTTTGCAAGTAAACACAGTTGGTTATGTCTAAAGTGAAAGTAAACAGTTGAGAGAAAAACGGATGTGTGCCTGTATATTAGATGCGTGCAGCTCTGAAAGCAACAGCAGACTAATTGTACTAAACATGCTGCTGCTTGTTCAGCCAAAAAATTTACATTTGGGTCACATATAGTGTTTTATTTGTATATTTGTTCATTCAATTTCTTGAATGCTACTGCTAAATACACCTACTGTAAAAAGAACCTACCTGAAAAAAGCACTGTCGACTCCTTATACAGTATTAAAAAAAATACAGTTACAGTATTTTCCGGCATCACCGGGCCCCCCTCAACCTGGGGCCCTGGGCTTAAGTCCAGGTAAGCCTGTGCATTAATGCGGCCCAGCATATCGCCCACCCATACTTTCGTGTGTTTTTCCCCTAACATGTACAAAAACGTATAGATCTTGTTATCTGTATGTGAGACGATGCTATAGTCGATGTGGGGGAAAGGTGTCGTTATTATTGTATACCAGCATGAAAACATCCACTAGACCCTTACGGAGAGAGTAAGCCACCTGGGATTCAGTCAAATCAGCAGTTCTTAGTCACACAGCCTGCTGTTTTTGTACAACACTTTTTGTTTTTGGTTTTCATTTTTTAATTTCTTGTTTTCTGTAAATTCAGTAAAATTCCGTTGAGTTCTTAAAAAAAAAACATGATGACATTTTTCCTTGAACTTTGTGTTTGTTGTTGTGAAAGGCCTCACATCCCTTTGTCAGTGTAATCTCTAAGGTTTCAGGTGTAAAATCTTGTATGGAAAGGACATAATTGTATAAGTTTTGAAAGCAATATGTTTTGTCTGTTGTGATTAAATAGCTGTACAAAATTCATTTGATGAAGTTTCAAGTATGAGTGTGTGTGTGTTTTCCTATAAATGCACAATGAAAGCACACATTTTTAATCATTTAATGTCATTTATACAGTTCTGTGCTTCATAGTATGTGTTTCATATTAGTTCTAAGTTTCATACTATGAAATGAAGCACACTTACAGTATAGAACTTAATTTATACAGTTTGAGGTTTATTGCAAAATATATAATCTACTACTGTCAATCATATCCATCTTATAAGATTGTTATACAACTTTTCCATAAGAGATAAGTACTGGATGTGCATCTGACCTATTGTTCGATTTAGTCACTCATTGTGTGTTTAATTGTTCCTGTTTGGTAAACTAATGAGTCCTGCTGTGCTAATCCTTCATTTCTTAATGGCTTCCTTTCTTTGTCTCTCTCCTGTTTCCTGACCACTTTTCCAACTTTGCCTCACCCAGACCTATTGCTCTTGGTGTTAGTTGAATTGGATTGGATATTATATAATATATTTATTGTAATGTATTTATAAATCTGCAAAGTCAGTGCTGATAATTTAGTCATTTTAATAGCAGTTTTGTTTGTAATCTGATTATATTCCTTTTAATGTCTGTACAAAAATACAATATTTCATACTTATAGCAGCACATTATTATCTAGATCGTGTACAGAAATGGACAAAATTACATTATTTTATGCTTTTAGGTTAAATAAATCAATTAAAAAATGGCAAAAAATGATCCCACATAATATAAAATCAGGATTAAAATACACCACACAATCCTAGGTGTTACATAACAAATTATTAGGGGACAAAATATTTATATGGCAATATATCGTTGTCCTTCTTTGTGCAATAAGACAATCAATACACTGGCGCCAAATATCAATATTAATTTAATTAATAAAATAAACAGTTTCTGGTCCCCATTAACTTTGATAAAATGAAAAAAAAAATACTGTGGAAGGCACTGGAGACAAGCAATTGTTTGGTTACCCACATTCTTCAAAATAACTTTTATATTCAACAGAAGAAAGAAGTTCTTAAAAAAAAAACATGATGACATTTTTCCTTGAACTTTGTGTTTGTTGTTGTGAAAGGCCTCACATCCCTTTGTCAGTGTAATCTCTAAGGTTTCAGGTGTAAAATCTTGTATGGAAAGGACATAATTGTATAAGTTTTGAAAGCAATATGTTTTGTCTGTTGTGATTAAATAGCTGTACAAAATTCATTTGATGAAGTTTCAAGTATGAGTGTGTGTGTGTTTTCCTATAAATGCACAATGAAAGCACACATTTTTAATCATTTAATGTCATTTATACAGTTCTGTGCTTCATAGTATGTGTTTCATATTAGTTCTAAGTTTCATACTATGAAATGAAGCACACTTACAGTATAGAACTTAATTTATACAGTTTGAGGTTTATTGCAAAATATATAATCTACTACTGTCAATCATATCCATCTTATAAGATTGTTATACAACTTTTCCATAAGAGATAAGTACTGGATGTGCATCTGACCTATTGTTCGATTTAGTCACTCATTGTGTGTTTAATTGTTCCTGTTTGGTAAACTAATGAGTCCTGCTGTGCTAATCCTTCATTTCTTAATGGCTTCCTTTCTTTGTCTCTCTCCTGTTTCCTGACCACTTTTCCAACTTTGCCTCACCCAGACCTATTGCTCTTGGTGTTAGTTGAATTGGATTGGATATTATATAATATATTTATTGTAATGTATTTATAAATCTGCAAAGTCAGTGCTGATAATTTAGTCATTTTAATAGCAGTTTTGTTTGTAATCTGATTATATTCCTTTTAATGTCTGTACAAAAATACAATATTTCATACTTATAGCAGCACATTATTATCTAGATCGTGTACAGAAATGGACAAAATTACATTATTTTATGCTTTTAGGTTAAATAAATCAATTAAAAAATGGCAAAAAATGATCCCACATAATATAAAATCAGGATTAAAATACACCACACAATCCTAGGTGTTACATAACAAATTATTAGGGGACAAAATATTTATATGGCAATATATCGTTGTCCTTCTTTGTGCAATAAGACAATCAATACACTGGCGCCAAATATCAATATTAATTTAATTAATAAAATAAACAGTTTCTGGTCCCCATTAACTTTGATAAAATGAAAAAAAAAATACTGTGGAAGGCACTGGAGACAAGCAATTGTTTGGTTACCCACATTCTTCAAAATAACTTTTATATTCAACAGAAGAAAGAAACTCATTCAGGTTTAAAACAACTTGAGAGTGAGTAAATGATGACATTTCATTTTTGCAGAATTTTCAGCAGTTTGGACTTGAATGAAGAGAGAGAACCTGCACTTAACCTTTTGACAGGCATTCTGTTTTCAAAGTTAGACAGATATCGTGATGTATCATTATAGGATTGTCTAGCAATATATCAATTATCACAGAATTTATGTATCGTGTTATTATCGGTATTGTGAGCCGTGTATCGTATCGTATCGTGAGGTACCCTGTGATTGTGTTTGTTTGTGAATCAATGGTTATCATTGTAGCTTATCTCTTAGACAGAATTATTTTTCCATTGCCAAGATGTGACAGATTTATTACTTCATTATTTAATTGCCTGACCAGCCAAAGGTAAATTTTACAGTACAAGATGAGAAATAAGTGATCTATCAGTATTGTAAAAATATGAATTCACTGTTTAATAAACACATCTTTTCCGGTTTTGTGTGTATACATTTTTAATGTTCATTTTCAAAATTGTTGTTGTGAGAAGGTCTTATATGTATTTTTGTCTCTTCCTATTAGTGATCCATACGTCAAGCTCTCCCTATATGTCGCTGACGAAAACCGTGAGCTTGCCTTAGTACAAACGAAAACCATCAAAAAGGTGAGTTTTATCTACACTCAGTAGCTTGTTTGTGACAATGAGGTTTAGTTTGTTTTAGGATGACTGAGTGAACTGAAAGCACACAAAGTAAAGAAGTGATGAGATAAACAGGTGATGGTTGAAAATGCTAAAGCCAGTACCACTAGGAGGAGTACTTCCATAGACCTGTGGCAGTACTGCATGGGCTTTCATAGTTATATCAGGCCTTGAATGATATGACACAACAGTTGTATCAATTATAAGAATCCAGTACCATTTGAATGTACAGTATGCAAACTACTTAAAATGCCAGTCATTATGGTTAATTTAAAAAAAAAAATTTTTTTAAACATACTTTTCTTATATCTTTCTTTTGATTGGTAAAGACCCAGATATTTTTCTTGACATTCACTCTCATAAAGTGCTTGTGGAGGGAATGAGTGTATATAAAGTGACAGTAATGGTGTACTAAATGATACTTCCCTGTTTATCTGTTTGTCCTTGGAATGCACACGCAAGGAAATAAACAACGATGCCAAGAGAAGTCACTTGTGATAACGTCACCAGAAATTAGCCATTTAAATGAGTGTTGGTGTGACATTCACAGACCATCTTAAAGCCAAGTGCATGCTTTTTGATGAAAATGTTTTATAGGCCAGACAGATCATTCTTTAAAAATATGTTTTTAAGGGCAGAAAAAAAAAATGTTTTGATGCATGTATAATATTGTTCTTTAGAAAATGTAAAGCCTTTTTTTAATCTTAATAATTAATTTTAATTTTAACATTTACTAATACATTATTAATTTTTTTTATATATGTTTATATTATTTAATGAACATGAACTACCAATTAACTTTTGTATTTTTATTAACTAATGTAAACAAAGAATAATAAATACTGTTACAAATATATTGTTTGTTGTTAGTTAACACATTAACCAATTTTAACTAATATATGGACCATATTGTAAAGTCTTACAAATATAGGAGTGAGAATAATGATTAAATATGAGAATTGGTAGAAATATATATATATATTTAAATTAATTGTTTGTCATTTATTAATTGTCAGAATGAATAATTAAGAATTAAGGAAAAAATAATTAATTGTCATTTAATATCAAAATTAGGCTTCATTTTCTTTAAGCAAATTTTATTTTTTTTACATTTAATTTTTGGGTGAAATAACTCCCAGGCATTTTCTTGGCAGGTTTCTTTTAGACCACTGAATGAAAACTAAAAGTTTGGTCTGCCTCGCCCTCGGGCAGGCGATAAATTGATTTAGCAAGTCAGTCAGCATTTGGGTCCATTCAGTTCCATTAAGTCACTATTCAGTAAAGTCCTTACTCTGGAATCTCCTGTGCTGTGACTGCAGACTCTTCAGGTTATTAATAGCTGACAATGCACTGCTGTGTGGAACATAAGCCTCGTTGTTCCTCAGGTCTCAGACTGTGTTGATGGATGCTTTAGACGTCCTGCTTTGAAACACTGGTCTGGGAACTCAACGGCCTGTGGCACATAACAGCAAGGTTATTTTCGTAAACGAAAACTAAAACTAAGACTAAAACGATTGATGAAAAAACAATTTCGTAAACTGAAATAAAATAAAAATGTCAAAATAATTGAAAAACTAAAACGAAACTAAACTAACAACAGTTATTGAAAAACTAACTGGAATAAAATAATAATTATCAAAAATAAATAATCGTTTTCGTAATCATTCCGTTCTCACCCCTTGGCGGAAAAATATACAAGCTGTGTAGAGGTTTAGGGAAATAGCCTACCTGTAGGCCTTATGTGCATTGGCTAAATCACATCATACACGCTTATAATTCTTCATAAATGAAAAGAACATTAAAATATAAGCCTTTACTGTTAAATGCGTTTGCCGTTATTACTGAATTTTATTAGTCCCAGTTTTGATTGATGCACGGCTGTTCACAGAAAAGTGAGCAAGACACCACAGTTATAATATCATGATTATGGTTAAATAAGAAAAGACATGTAACCAAATCAGGCTACATTTATTTTCATACTAAATATCTCAACACACATCATTGGGTATGACGTTAAGCGCAACTTGTGTAGATTAATTTAGTAAAAAAGGCTTGCCTGCTTTCTTTGGCGTATTGTATACTTTTACTATCTAGTCAATCTCAGCATGCGTTAATTTTGCCTCACTAAGGTTAAATTATGCCTACGTCTCTCTTTGGCCTGCGCTCTGGAAGTGATCTGTTAATTCTGCTAAACTTTAATTAAAACTGAAACTAAAACTGAAACTAAACTATATAAAAACTAAATAAAAATGAGTTCACAAAATAAAAACTAAACTAAAACTAACAAAAATATGAATGAATTTAATAAAAACTAAACTGAATTTTATAGTAAATTTGAAAACGATATTAAAATAAAACAAATTTAAAATTCAAAACTATTAATAACCTTGCATAACAGCAGAGCATTTTGTCATTATCTGAACAGAGATGTATATTTTGACCAGGCTTTCATTTCAAAGTGTAAATATACTCATTATGAGCTATACCTACATATATGGCTAATGCACTTTATACTTATTACATTTTTGTGTGTCAAGAAGGTTATTGCACTCATTATTGTTAATGGAAATGTAAGAAAAACAAAACGGGTTTTGATGTGAGTGATGTGGTCATTTTTATAAATGCCAAAAATTGCTAAAATTTGAGTTTATGGAATTTTACTGTAATGTAATTTTCATTAATTAAATTTTTTTGGGGAATCATTTGGGAAAAAATGAGGACCTGAGCTGTTGACTTATGATACAAATTCATGATTAAAACAAATGTTGCAGAAAGAAAAAAAAAATGGTGATTTGACACTAAATATACATAAAATAGATGTTTATATGTAATTGGGATGCATGCTCATCAAAAACCTTATATTTTTTCCTTATTTAGTTACGTGCTTTGAGTTTACATAAGCATAGCTTGTGAGATGCCAGTCTAAACTGTTTTTAACTACACAACTACGTTTACAAAAGGCAATTACCTATTATAAAACTTTGTATAGACAAAGATAAATAAGGGTGAAGTTGAGTTGCAGGCTGTGACAAGATTTTCTGTTAGTCAGGAGAAGACAACTGCATGACCCTCAACAGATATAGAGATGGATTTACTAGTGGCTGTTTGGCCTTGAGTAAGAAGAAATCTGCCTTGACTAGGTTAAGCTTAAGGTGATGATTTGTTATCTAAGCAGGAACGTGAGAGATGCAGACTATGAAGAAAGTGGAAATGGAGGGAGATTATAGGATCTAGAATTGAGTGTCGTCGGCATAACACTGCTAAGAGAAAGTATGTGGTTTGATAACAGAGCAACAGATAATGTCAGCGGTCCCAGTCCAGAGCCCTGTGGGAACTAGTAGTTGTGGGAAGGCTGTTGAGTATGTGATAGGTAGAATATGAACCTCCAATTGACTTAATTTGGTCGCTTTACTAAGTAGGATAAAAACCAGGCAAGCAGTTGGCTGTCAGACGCAGTGGGCATGTCAGGAAGAATCAAATCGGAGGAAAGAAAATGGCCCAGCCACCATAAGTGATGCAGTCACTGCAAGGAGAGAGGATTTCAGTTCACCGGCATGATTTCCTTATTGTTTGACTTTATACAATAAGGAGATGAGCAAAGACAAGATAATGAACCAGAGTTGGCAGGTTGATTTTGCTGATGGCATAAAATTGTAGGAATCAATTAGATTTTTTTCAGTAAATCAATTCAAAATTCTGATTTGTTCGAGATATATATATATATATATATATATATATATATATATATATATATATGTATAAGAATCTTAAAAAG